GAATTTTAAGGTGAAGTAGTGTTTCTTAAAATAATTGTTCTACACAAACTTTTAACAGAAACGTGCAAGTGATGTATCCTATAGTATCGGAATATGAGACGATAACTAAAAGAAGTGGAGAACCGGAAAAAAATTTATCTCAAAAATATCAAATACAAAATCACTTAGCGCAAGAATATGTTAATCCCATGATCGGAAGACCAAATTTCTTTATGAGCAGACCACTCGTTCGAGCTGCTGGACTTCTTAAAGGAAACTCCACGACGGAAATAATCCCTGTCAGTACATTGTCTGAAGGAAATACATCAATCATTCAACATGTATGTAATAAACATTCTATTTTATTTAGAACTAAATTTATGTTTTGAAAGTCTTGTTTTAACAAAATATTTTCGCGTTCAACATTCGTAATGAGAGTAATTTTAGTGCGTACGTTAACCCTCTAGGAACAGCATCGCCTTGTAATTAAAAAGTTTTTCTTATTAATTTTGTTTAAAAATGACTTGTTAAATAAAGAATCGATCAATATGTTTATTCTTTTTAGCTAAAGTTCTTGCGCGGTTCATCTTTCTTCCTTTTCTCTTCACGTTGGAGAAAAAAAAAAGATAAACTGTGCAAAATGTTCAGCTAAAAAGAACAGGCCTTATATTTATATTATCGATATGTATCGATTGATATGTACACGATCTGACTTTCTAAAGCAAGCAGAAGCATTATATACGCGGACTGTGTTTCAAAATTTACTACTAGTATTGAAAATCTATAGTTTACGTTACGTGCAATGTAGATTTTCAGTATATTTGGCAGTAAATTTTGAAACACCACCTCAGTGTTTAATGCTATACATTTCTATCTTCAGATTCTTAAGTATAATTAATTTGCACAGATCCCAAATTTATCTCGAATTTAATTTTAAAGTGAACGTTATAAACTCGTTCCTAGACAGTTAAAGTAGAATCTCTCATAAGATTTCAATTTTAAAACTGAGAATCTATTAAATATTAATGTTTCTAGAGTGTCATTGAAATTATTGATGTTGGCGGTCGTCTTCACTGTCTCAATGAATCTATAAGTCCATCTTGCTGGTTGAAAATCATCACCTTGGCGACAGATTTTCAAAACTACAATGTTCTGCTAATGATTAGCAATGACGGACTCGTATTAAAAGCAATAAAAGATATAGCAATAGGAGAACCGTTATTAATGTGGTTTGAAGATTGTATTTTGACTATGTTGAACATTCCATTTTTAACACCGGTCAATTGCAATATTCAAGGTAGGAGAAAAATTTCTCTAAGCTAATTTAATTTTTTCGTGTGATACATCATCAGTAACTTATTAGTTTTAATCTTTCGTTAATTTTCTACTTAAACATTATCCTTAATAATTTATAACTATTAATTTTTTATCATTAATAATTCCTAGTTACAAGTTTATTATCTGGAGACATTGGTAGTATCACGGTGTTAAGCTATGCGCAGTGACATTGCCGCAGCTATTTTATTTACGCGAGCCGACGAGTTATGAGATCATGTTTACAAAAATAAAATTTAGAAGTATACAAGTATTACAGTTTACTAGAGATATTTTAATTAAGTATTATCCATTACTACCTACATGGAAAAATTAAACTATAGATTAATTTATAAAAAAAATTTACAAGATATACGATCTAATTTATAAGAATCTATGTATGTATAATATGTACATTAAATTTATATATAGTATCAAATTTAACCTAAATTAAGTTACCATATAGCTATATATAAATTAAACTTTTATTAAACAAGATTAAATACTAACTGATATTTCTAATTAATGCAAATTTAATTACAATGCAGTAGATTTTTTGTTGACTGTTATTTAAAAAATCTAATTATTTCATCATTATTATTTTAAGTTAAGAAACAAAATTGATTAGAAAATTGATTAAGAAATTGCTTAGGAAATGAAAAAATAAAAATGCTATTAACAAAAATTTTTTTAGTTGATCATATAAACAGTCTAGCATAGTTGACGTACGTTAGTAATGGCATTTCCTTCATTTTAACTTATTACTATTATATCTCACTATTAATTGTCAAGATTATAATCAAGTTACAACATATGAAAGTAGTGCAAAATAAGATATGTTTTATATAAAAATTAAATAAGCTGATTAATAAAATATTTATTAATAGACGGTTATTTGAATAATTACAGGTCAAGTTTACACGTGCCATAATTGCAACAGTTGCTTTGATCATCCAAATCCTCTGAAGCTACATTTGGCATTGGATTGCAATCGAATGGACAATAGTTACATTTGGATGCTTCTGGCGAATAAGATCATTAATTCGCCGAGAATGGATTTATCCTTCAGCCAGTATCCAAGAACGAGTTTCACATTTGAATTAAAACCCTTGCCTGTTTCTAGACCGACTGATATTCCAACGTATCCAGTGGAAACAATTGACACTACCATTCGCTCGTTAAGAAATGATTCGCCATCCTCATCGAATCAATTATCATCCATATCCTCAAATGGTCCCTCACCAATACCCCCATATTCCTCAGTAAAATCTCCCACAATAGACGTTTTACCGAGCTCATCGACCTACGAATCACCCATCGAACACATAACAGAGAGAAATCATTATTTGACTTTGAGGCCCTATGAAGCTCTGATGCATCGAGATATCTACAGAAATAGTTTCATGTCCTATATGCGTCCCAGTATACAAACAGAATCCAAGAAGAATCCCGCGGAAGTAGAGACAATCGCCAGCGACATGGGCAAGTGCGGTGCCGGATACAGATGTATATTTTGTAATAAAATATACTCACGAAAATATGGATTGCGAATCCACATTAGGACACACACAGGTTACAAACCTCTAAAATGTGATTTTTGCCACCACAAATTCGGAGATCCCAGTAATCTCAACAAACATGTAAGATTGCACGCAACAGGAGAGAGTCGTTATAAATGCAATATGTGCGATAAAGTCTTGGTCAGAAGGAGAGACTTGGAGAGACACATAAATTCCTGGCACTCGCAAAATGCTAATGTTTCCAATGCTGAGATCAATGACAAAGATTAGAAAAAAGCCAGGATTACAAAACAATGAATTTCATAGTGCCTCTTTAATGAGTATTGTGGTTTCTAGTCATTTTGGAATTAAATATATGATCTGATTATTTTGTTTTTAACACACAATAGAACATTTTTCCATTCAAAATTTTTAGTGTCGTATACGTGGACAAATGGATATCGAACTCAGATCCTTCGCTTAGCAGACAACTGCTCCAATTATTTAGCGACCTTATGCCCACAATCTTTGATGGGTGATTTAGGCTTTATCAACGATGCTAAAAGAATGTCATTGTCTGTGATAAATAGATTATTTAGAAAAAAAAACCGATAATCGTAAACAATGACATTTTTCCCTAATTCTGAACCAATTATAAATATTAAGATGTTAAATAGAAGGATATGTTATTTTGAAACTAATTTAAGAAATAATATCGTTCCTCGCTATTTCTTAACAATTTCATAGTAACTATTAAACTTTCAACATTAAAAATTTCCCAGTTATAAATAATGTAAATTTAATAAATTATAAATATATTTTTATAGCTTAAATCAAATTATAAATAACCTATTTGTGAATATAGCTTTATACGCATGTTAAACCGATTTCTCTAGTACAAATTTCAATAAAAATTAGTTTATGTATTTTATTGTAAAATTGTTGTTGTTAAAAATAAAAACTTATGTACATCATAAACTTTTAAATGTTTTAAATATATTTTCTTGTATCATTTTATGTTTATATTTAATAATAATTCTTAATTATAATTTATAAGAGCGAGAAACTATAAAGTTCATGAGTAAATCAATTGCACAAGAATCAATGGAATATTTTTCTCAACACTTTTGATGTTACATGCTGATTTTTTCGTAAGTAATCTAAATTGAAATTCGAATATAATCAAAGTGATTTTTATAACATAGCTATTATATTGCATTTGGAAACTTTTGCTGAAGTATTTAAAAATTATTTAGATACAAATATGAAAATAATTTGTTGAACTATCAAAATAATTACGTAGAATTCAAGATGATTGCTAAAATGTTGTACAATATTGTACAACATTTGAAATTATGCTTGAGCGGTCTACATTATTTTCAAATTTATCTAATTACATTTTTAGATACTCTAGCAAATTATTTTTTCCGTGTTCACATTCTTATCGATAAAATATAATGATCACAGCTATAATAGAAAATCGCGAATATTGTTAATTAAGATCGTATATTTCGATAAATTCATATAAGTAATCACTTTATGAAAATTTTATTATCCAACGATACTATGTGATCGCATGAAGTTCACTTGACAAAACTGTCATATTACTGCAATATAGTGTATAATGTGTATCTAATGGATTCTTCGTCAGAGTTTCTATCATTTTGTGTCAAAGACTAAGAAAAAATTAACAAATCCGTCACTGATATACATAATTAGCTTTCGCGTATACATCGTCTAATAATAAAAAAAAAATTCACTCACCAGTCGCTGGCATTATATGTAGGCACTCGAATCTTCGGCGGATGGACTGAAAAAAGAAAGAGATAAAAAGGGTAAGTTTTATAAATTATGAAAAGCCTACAAAAGTACTAATTTTAAATAATTAGAAACATCAAAAAAGACCTTCTTCGATCAATCGTCAAAATCCTTCGTTTACGATATCAAATATATCGCTTCGACTCTGATCTTATATACAACTTTTGCACAAACTCCACTCAGCCCACTCTAAAAAGATCTGTTCTTTTTAGCTGAATTTCTTGCATAATTCGTCTTTTCTCATTTTCTTTGCAATTTCGAGAGAAAAAGAAGAAAGGTAAACTGTGCAAGAACTTTAGTTAAAAGAAACAAACTTTAAGTGCAGCAAGTGCAGTGAATTTCCGAAGCGATGTCAACGACATCTGTGATACAAATTCTAAATCTCGTCGTTTCATTACGCGCGGTCGACCGGGTTGCAGGAATCATCTGCGATCTCACTGTACGTTTATACTGATATTCGCAGAATCTTAAAACGCGGATACAGACAATTACAAGGTGAGCATTAAGATTATTGTGCAATCAAAAAATGTAAGGCCTCGGATGATAATTTGAGTTCACTCGCACTCAACTATCATCCAGACACAAATGCTAAAAATTAGGTTATCCTGGTATCCTGTATCTATGATGTAACAGCCTCGTCAATGTCACTATGTTAAAAGAAATGTATTTCTTTCTTTAAAAAAAAAAAATCAATCCTTTCTAGTGTGCCGAAATGTCTAATCTCGCTCGTACATTGCGTCCTTTCTTGAGATGCGTTCGTAGTCAGAGTCATCAAAGAACCTATGCAAACGCTGCAGCTGATCAAATGAAATTTACGTTTGCTGGTGCTAATCAGGTATGATGGAATGAAAATTGTACAAAGTGATAAAGAATAAGAGTAATTTTCAGCAAGAGATAGTGAATGCTTTTCATTTTATGACACAAATGTCATTCTATCTTTGTCACTTTCTGAATGTCAAGAAAGATAGAATGACGCTTGTGTCAACTTGTGTCATCAAATAGAAAACACTCATATGTAACACAGCGAATCACTTCATTTTTAATATTAACAAACAATAAGGATGTATTCATTGTATAAAACTATGTCTCTTACTAGAAAACAACCATAGTCATAATTATGCAACAATTAATATGGCACTCTTTCATGGTCACCAGGTGTTCTATGATCAAGCTGTAATTCGGCAAGTCGATGTACCCTCCTTCTCAGGTTCCTTTGGTATTCTACCAAAGCACGTGCCTACATTAGCAGTTTTGAAGCCTGGTGTAGTTACAGTTTACGAAGAGGATGGCTCGTCCAAGAAAATTTTTGTTTCTTCTGGTACAGTCACCATTAATGAAGATAACAGTGTACAGGTATATATAAAAATGTGTTCAATATATTCAATGTAATAAGTTTCTTCATTGAATTCTACAACAACTTTTCGTTCTTCTATAGATTCTAGCAGAAGAAGCCCATCCAGTAGAACACCTTGATAATGCAGCAGCAAGAGATATTCTTAATAAAGCTCAACAACAACTTTCTTCAGCAACATCGGACGTAGATAAAGCTGAAGCGGGTATTGCAGTTGAAGTTGCAGAAGCACTTGTGCATGCTACACAATAAATGTTATAAGAATGTGAAATTACACACACACA